TATGCTTATAAGGCGCACTTTTTCGAATTTTCAAGCAAGCCGCTCAGCCGCTTCACTGTATTCCGGAAAGAAACCCTTACAACGCACGATTCTCCCAAGCAATATGCAGCACGTTATAGGGTCCTTTGGTCGTAAAATCCTTTGGCGTGTTTGGGCTGGTCGATTTTGGAGAAAAATCCCCCGCGCCTTATACGCGTGAAATTAGGGTAATTTGTGTCCATATAATTAGTTTGGGGCCACGAGTTTTTCATGTTGGCTCCGCCCAACTTTTGGCAGACTTCGCGCACTCCAATTGTCTTTTGCAAGAAACCTTTTTTTCAAAACGTTCAAAACGCAAAGAAGAGGTAACAAAAAATGGTTTGCCGTCAATGTGTTAAGCTGTTCCAACGCCTTCAGGACTACGGAATGTGTTCGCCGTGAAAAGTGCCTAGCATTTTTGCCAAATTTAGCATTACATCTGTCGAATTCATTATCGACGCCTGAGGAAGACGCCTTGATTCTGAGAGGATTGCTGCCATCGCCTATCTGCTGGGAAGCTTCCGACCGCCTTCGCGAAGTCTCGACCTAGGATCTGCTGCTGTGCCACTACGATCCAAAGAAGTCTATTATCGTTGCCGCTGAAGCAAGCTATGGAATCGGAGTTGTGATTTCTCACTGCTACCCGGATGGATTGAAAAAGGTCTTCTACCGCGCAAGCCGTGCTCTGACTGCCACAGAGGAGAATTACTTGCAGATGGAAAAAGAGGGATTGGTCCCAGTTCTCGTTGTCAAGAAGTTCCATCGTTACATCTATGGACGAAGATTCACTCTGGTGAGCGACTACCACTCCTACTCACTGATTTTAGGAGCAAGGAAGGAGTACCAGCCTACACTGTCAACTGCGTACAACGATGGTCAATGACGCTCCTTGCCTATGATTTTGACATCAATTACTGCTCCACGACTTTGTTTGGACAGGCCGATGCTCTCTCCGACTGCTTTCCTGCCCGAGCGCTCCGGACGAAGACGTCATTATCGCTAGTGTAGAAGTCGATGTCACCGCCACTTACGAGGAAACACTTGACGACCAGCTGACAATTACAGTCAAAGACGTACTCTGGGCCCTGAAAAGAACACCCGTGTTGGTAGAGTTGCTCAACAGTCTTCAAACAGAACGTTGGCCAAAAGCGCTTTTCGGAACGCCGTGGTTTAATTATAATAGCCAGCAAAAAGAACTATCCACTTATAACGAATGCATTTTCTTTGGTTCCAGGATCGTCATGCCTGTCCCACTGAGAAAGTGGGATTTTGCGAACGCTACACGTTGGACACCCTGAACAAAGCCGGACGAACCTGCTCCTTGCAACTAATTCTATTGGCCTGGTTTAGAAGAAGACGTCAAGAAGACTGTGAAATGCTGCCAGTGTCAACTTGCCGCCAAGAATCCCGTGGAAGTTGAACTGACTCTACGGCCGATCGCAACCCGCCTAATGAAACGTTTGCATATCGACTTCGCTGGACCTTTCTATGGATGTATCTTATCGTCGTGGATATGTACTCCCATTGGCCTAAAATCGTGGAAGTGCAGGCGACTACGTCACCAGCCGCCACGCAGAAACTTCTAACGACCTTTAGCATTGGATCAGAAACGCTCTTTTCGGTTAACAGCACACAATTCTCAAAGTTCTCCGAAGATTTCTGCAGAAAGTACAAGATCAAGCATATTCGGACATCGCCGTTCCACCCGCAGTCGAATGGACTTGCTGGACGCTTCGCCGGAATATCCAAAAAAGGACGTCGGAGCTGGAAGGAAAAAGAAACTTTCGAAAGCGTTGTTAAAGCTATTGCTATGTTACCGCTGTACTTTCCATCCGTCTTCGCATGATAACCTTTCGCCCGCAACGATGTTTCTCGGCGAATATTGAATAATCCACTCTCGCGTTTGGTCAGCCTGCGATGAAAGCTCTGTACAACCATCGACATGAAGTCAAGAAAAACAAGTTCGAAGTCTACGATACCGTCTACGCTCGCGATTACCGTAACCCATTGAAACTCATTTGAAATCCAGTGGCCGTATTCATCAACGAACTCTGAGGGTTACACTCAACCTGGAGGGTAAGTTTAACCCTCAGGGTTCATTAGCCGTATTCATTAACGAACCCTTGAGCATAGGGTAGGGTTTACCACAGAACGCGATCCACCCGTATCGATCAATGAACCTGTGGACGGATTCATGAACGAACCCTGAGGGTTAAACTAACCCTGGAGGGTTAAGGGTCAGTTACGCGTGCGCTGTGCAAACTCATATCACAGAATGCTTAAGTATGCGCTAAATTCACTTTAAACTTCTATTCTTTCACTGTTATAGTAGTATAATCAACGAATAAGCTTCTAACATTAGTTTTTATGCTACATCTCTAGCATATTTGTGCAGCATCCAATCTTACAGCGTGAGTTTATTTTCATGTGTGCAATTGTGCCGGGTAAGTTCTACTTTTGCGCAGTTCGGGGCTAGTGCTACACTTCTAGGGATCAATGCGTACTATCATAAAGGGGTTCTTCTGTTTTGACACTTGTCAGAGTGGAATGCGCAACCATTTTTCCTCGTCGCATTCATTTGTCACCAACGCTAGAATTCTTTTTCTCGTGAAGTTAGTGTTTCATGTACTTCAAATGTGAATATAAAACGAAGTCGGAACTAAATACTATAGCAACTAATACTAAATACTACAATACTCGTTGATCGTTTTCCATAAAACTATTAGATGCGAGTAAATGTTTGTATGAAGTGTTAGGGTCGAGTTCACCCCTAAGCTAGGGTAAAATTAACCCTGATGAATCACGTAAGTTTTACCCTCAGGGTTCGTTGACGAATACGGGTTAATTGCTTTCGGGGTATGGTTTACCCTCAAGGGTAGATTTAACCCTCAGGGTTAAGCCTACCCTGTGTTTCATGAATACGGGTTAATCGCTTTCCTGGGTACCCTCAGGATTCGTTGTTTAATACGGCCACAGGACGTGTACGATCAAAGATTGGACGCTCATTTTATAACGTCGAAGTCGAAGGATTTGTGTGGAGACGCCATGCTAACCAACTGCGGCTGCGTTCTCGTGCTGTTCACGACGCCACCTGCCGCTGCTGGATGAGTTCGAACTTCTAGACTTGGATCTTTCCAGGTCGATTTCCGTCATGGCCGTTGATGCTCCCGTGCCTGATAACCAGGAAGCCAACCTCAATGATGAGACGCAGCCAATCCCTGATGTTGCTGCCGCCCAAGCCGAGCCTAGGGACGTGGATTCACCACTCCACCGTTTTCGTCGCGTACTCTCTGCCGGTCGCAGAGCAGCCATCAACCATCAAGCCGTGGTGGATGGAGATGGATCTCTCGAAGAAGCGATATAGTTAAAAACTTAAGGGGGAAGATGTTGGGTTTTGAAGTGTTTATGTACTGCACAATACCACCCGTAATTAGTGAAAAAAATTGGCGGCGGCACTTAACTCACGCGGCGCCGCCGCAGTGAGGTGACAAGCGAGCCGCCTGACTTTGTCGCGAAGCGAAACAAAAAAAACTTTGTTGCGAAACAAAAGCGCGCCTAACTTTTTGAAAAAAAGACCTTATCTTGATTCGAAATTTATGAGTTTTATATTTAAAAGTACCATTCAACTCAGCTCGGCGAGGCGCATCTTCCAATATACAGATGTGCCTAGTTGTGGGATATAAGGCGACGCGGCGCTTGTCACCTAACTGCGGCGGCGCCGCGTGAGTTAAGTGCGGCCGCCAATTTTTTTCACAAATTACGGGTGGTATTGTATTTGCTTTGTAGCGTTAATATTGTCTTCGTATTATAAATTGAATTTCAAGCGCGAATGAACAGAGCTTTTTGAAACTATGGGTAGCCGCTGCGGTCATTCTATAACCCACGAATTTCTTTCTAGGAAGGTGATTGCCAGAGCTTTGCTCATTCTTGTAAATTTAAGAATAGAACATTCTGTTGATACTTTTTGCAAAAACATTCAGCTGCTTAGAAAATCACAAAATTCTATAATTCGAGACTTTGAGGCTTACTGAAAGGATGTTGAAAAAAGTGAGACTTTCTAATTTTAATTTTTGTTCTTTTCGCAAATTTTTTTTATTCAAGCTTTTTTCATCTTCTTTTGTCCTATTAACTTGGTTTTACAAGACAGGTGACGTTCCATTCGAGCTAACCAACTTTGAAGGGAGTATGACATGTCAAAGACAAGCTTTCGAAGAAAAAGTTCTTTTGATTTCCCATTCAGGTTTTTCTGCACATTTGTGATATGAATATAGAGATAGTGTTTATCGCATCCGGCAATGAAGAATTTTCAAATATATATAGCATGCTGAAGTGAGAATGGAACGGTTAATATTTTCTAACCTAATAAAAGTATGACTTCTACTAAACAAGCTTCCCTTGTTAGGAGACGAAAGTACAAACTTTTATAGAGTCTCAAGCATTGAAGAGTTTGAAAAAAGTACAAGTGAAAGCAGACGGTCAAACAACTACTTTCAAGCATAGTGGTCGTTTCGCTAGATCGGGTACTTGTTTGTGATCAGGCAACGATCTGAACACGAACCAGGACCTGATCTGGCAATCAACACCTAGACCCCTTGAATGTCAAGGGCGGCACGTATCAATTTCCCATTCGAATAAGTGCCGAACAGGTCGTAATCCAGTCAGACGCGGGCGTCCTACTGTCGCGGTGCTCGGAAGTGCGCGCCCGCCCGTGCAAGAGTCCGGTCAGGCAGGATCGGGTAAGTCTGCAATGCCTGCTAGTTCTCGCTTGCTATAAATCAATTACGTGAAATAGCGCATTTCTTGATTAGGCGCTCGGAAATGTTCGTGAATGGAAAGTATCGTTCACTGGTCAGCAGGTGTTTCGGACTTACCCGATCCTGCTACTGGACTCTTGCACGGTCAGGCGTCCACTTCTGAGCACCGCGGGAGTAGGACGCCAGCGTCTGACTGGATCACGACCTTCGCGAACACTTACCCGAACGAGAGATTGATACATACGTCTTAGGTAGCTTTACCTTGCTAGCTGTATCCTTAGTGCGGTACGCGGATGATATCGTTCCAACTTGCCAATTAGTTCAAAGATATTCGGGAAAATTAGCGTGATGAACGATACTGTGATTGAAACGGCATTCTTAATGTTCACATGTAAACGGAGGACTTTTGTTTCGCTCACTAGCGGACTGACCTGTTTTATGAACGTATCAGTTTCCCTTATTTGGCTTACCGCCAGTATGGCCCACACTGAAAATCCGAGCATGATACACACTAACAAATTAGCGAAGACTCTCAGCAGAATTTGTAAGCATTTATACTTTCGCTTCATATTCACCGCGTATTCAGCTATCGCCTCCTGTAAAATAAAAAAATATAGACTCCTTTATTAGCTCACCAAGCAAAATCCTATTCAAATAAAATTATTTCTAGAACAGAACTTACCCGAAATTTAATAACATTCGCCATATGAACGTTTCCAGCAGTTTCTGCATTTCCTATTGTGAAATCCCAGCCCGTGAACGCTTTCCAGTTGAACACATACTGCTCAGTTTTACCCGACGACAACTTACTTGTACGAGCATTAGAAGCCATTCTGAAATTTTTTTTATTGGGAAGATACCTTTCGTTAGCATCAGTGCAGCGGAAGTAAGCCAGCTGATTTTATTGCTTGAAAAAATTTAAGCACACCTCAAGTGCACGGCATCAGACTTAACTTTTATAGAAAATGTTATCAGTCTTACCACATGCTTTCAAAAAGGTGGTGAGTAAATATACGCTCAGAAATACCTTGAAGAATGAAGTGGGTTTTGAAAGTAAGTTATCATTAAGGCTCAATTAGAAAGGCTTGCTTCGTTGATGTAATTACGGCGTTATCTCGTCATTTTAAAGAGCGGCAACAGTGGAAACATTTCAAGGCTTCCCCGCAACTCGAAAATAAACCCGAATGCTAAATGTGCCCAACCATTTTTCCGTCGCTTTAGATTTTTAAGCTCACATTCAAAAGAACAACCACTGAGCAATATTAACTTTGCTCACGATCAAGTTGGCACACCCCAAAGATAATTATCCAAAAAGTTTTTCGATTGCTTATATCATTACCGTCCTATCGGTTTCGCCTAAATAAATTGAAGCTTTAGAGTTTGAGTAGTCAGTGACTTAGTCTTGTGCTTCCGTATTTTACACTTAGAAACCAAAATCAGACCGAGTAAATATTGGATTTTCAAGCCTGGCAGCCAGCACATAGGTGGGTTTCATTTTTCCTATCGCAAGCTTGGTAAAAAATTGTTTTCAACTGTTTTTAACTCTTTCTTTTGTCGTACAACTAGATGGCTTGGTTTACTACCTACAGAAGTAATCAGTAGCGAGAACTCTTACATATCTCGTAGGAAATTAGAAGGTTTCAGTGTGCTACGTGTTATAAAAATGGATGACTTTTAGGTACCGCTAGTTCACTTACGCTTTTCCACTTTTCTATCTATGAGACATGGTCACTCCTGATTGAGTTCATTGTGGCATCTACCAATTCCGTCGTCTTGCGAGTTCGTATCTATCCCCGGTTACTTGCTATTTACTACTTTAAGGAGCCAGCTTCTGCTTAAGAGGATCGTTCATCTTACTCAAAATACTTCCGTACTGTTACTAACCTATACTCTGCATTTACTAACAAATGGTCAACTCATATTATTTCTCAGGGAACTTTATCGCAGCCTCCAAATAGCCAACCTTACCAGTATTGAACTTTAAGTAATCCCCATTTTTTCCCCTAAACAAGGCTATACTCCCTGCACGGAGATTATCGTCGAGCATATCTCCATATCTTGCTGACCTCTGAAAACCTTTTTTGTTAGAGGGATTTCGCTAGTTAGTTTCCGCCCGTAGGCTCGTTGGCACCAAAAATGGGATAAGTAAAAGTTTTCATGGGCAGCAAGATTGTAATACAAGTTGTTCAAGTTGTTCAAGATCACTACTATTTTTGAACTATTTTCAATTGCAATCCTATTTACTAGCAGCCTAGCTGCTCTAATGCAGAAATTATTGCCTGGGATGTTTCTATATTGCGTTTAATCACTTCTCTTGTACGGCTCCATTATCCCTTCTAAGTCGGTATGAGTTGCTTGTCAGTGTTTGGCTTTGTTTGTTTGTTTTTTTTATTTTCTGGTTGGCACACCTTGAGTAAAATATAAAATAAAAATAAAAAATAAAATAAGCAGAAATGATGCATTCAAGTAACTTCTTTATGCAGGAACTTTTGAAGTTTTACCCTTTTAAGGAAGGGGAAATTATCTCATTCTTTCCTTCCTGCCTACCCCAGAATCTTCTTATGATTTCGTCAGAAAAACGATTCTCCAACTGATCGCCGTAGTGCTGGTCGAAAATTCAAACAGATGTGCCTAAGATAATACAAACAATTCACCGGAACTTCCTCAGGAAAAGCACGCTTTGCAGCAGCCCCGCATCACCTTTAACTCCATTAAGTCGTTGACGGCGAGCTATATTCTTTTTTGACGTCTGTTCCTGTGGACAAACCGTTTCCGGGCATTTCCACAGCGCTGCATGTACCCTTTAATTCAACCGGCTTGGCTCCTGGAAGGGGTGAGGCTTTGTGACCTAATTGCGGCTAGATAATGAGCAGAGAGCACGCGCGCGAGAGAGACGCAGACTCGTCGCGGGCGCGAGCGGTCTCAAAGGCAGTGGCTCGGCAAATCCTCGACTTGAAGTTCGCTTCCCTGGAATAATTCGACGCGCTTTAACGCGCCTATTTCGAACACATTGAAGAGCACGAAAGTTTCGAAAAACAGCATTTTCCGAGGGTCATTTTGAATTTGGACGAGTGCACGGCTCCACGCCATCAGAGAAGTAGAGTCATTGCGGGTCCATCATGTTTATAGCATTGCGACATGCTGCCTCTGACGGTGGGAGGGGAGAATACCTTGCGCGCAAGGGTTTAGCGGCAATTTCCTAGGCATGAGCAGCATGTATGCGCTCGGACCTGCTCTGTTCTGATGTTTGCGAAGCAAGCAACCTTTCATATTAAATTTTCGAGATGTTTAGTTGTGCCGAGCCACTGCTTTCAATTAAGTCACAAAGCCCTTCGTCTTCCAGGAGAAAAGCCAAATCAATCAAAGGTTATGTATGCATGCATTTATGCGTGAGATACAAAAATGCACGTGGGCGGTATAGCTCCGCTTATAGGCACCGTCCACCATAAGTTGAGGATGTTGAGCTTTTGGCAGCATACAGTGTTGGACATAATTATAGAGACACTCTAGAAATCGTCGTAATTTTCTGTCAGTGAATCTGTCTGAAACTTTGCTGTATGGTGCGCATGAAAACTTCCATAACTCCTCAAAACGGCTTCCAATCCCGTTGATTTCGAACGGAGAAAAATGGAAAAATTCGAAAAAGCCTGTTTTGCAAGCTGAACATAATTATAAAGACACCTGGCCTTTTTAAACATTATCGCATTCCTTGACTCCCAAATTTTTTGTAGAGTTACATCCCAGAAAATGAAACTTTTGCAGCACCTAGGACCTGTCATGCTATTCAAGGAAAGATGATCCTTGCATTTTTCGTTTCCAAAGGCATCAGAAGTCAAAGTGCTTCAATAACCAACTGGTTTGAAGAGTTTTCAAGCCCTTGTTCATTTCAAATGATAATCATGGAGTCTACTGATCCTTCTGGATAGATGAGGTGAAGGGTGCTTTCGTAAACTCTGCGTAATCGCTGATTTTGACGGACAGACTCCAACCTCACCATAGGGGTGTCGCGCTTTTGCACCACAAAACTCACTTTCCAATGTTTGTGAAGTGATGGACTCAACTTATTACATTGTCTACATGGAGATGCATCTTGTGCAACAACTTTTAGATTTTTTCTAGTGCTGCAGTTGCCATTTAAATCTAAAATACTTTCAACGAAAATTCTATGCGAGCAGTAGATTCAACATAATCAAAAATCTCACTATTTTATTCTCTGTTTCATGTCGCATTTTGCGCGGTAGCTGAGATTAGAAAGATTTTGAAGTTTCAAGCGGTCTCCTGTTCGATTTCTTGATTTGAGTTGGATATGATTGTGCAGAGTGCTCGACTCAACTCTCAACGGATGACAACTGCGGCTGAACCAAAATGTGCAACCCCGAATTTTCCTGGCTAGGCACACAAGTTTATTGTTGTACGTGTATTGTTGCGGCTACAATGCAGCGTTTTCTGTAACTTGAAAATCGAGTTTTGTGGTGCAAAAGCGCGACAACCCTACGGTGAGCTTGGAGTCTGTCCTCAAAATCAGCGATTACACAGAGTTTACGAAAGCGCTCTTCACCTTATCTATCCAGAAGAATCAGTAGACTCCATGATTATCATTTGACATGAACAAGGGCTTGAAAACTCTTTAAACCAGTTGTTTATTGAAGCAGTTTGACTTCTGATGCCTTTGGAAACGAAAATGCAAGGATTATCTTTCCTTGAATAGCATGACAGGTCCTAGGTGCTGCAAAAGTTTCATTTTCTGGGATGTAACTCTACAAAAAAATTTGGGAGTCAAGGAATGCGACAATGTTTAAAAAGGCCAGGTGTCTTTATAATTATATCCAGCTTGCAAACAGGCTTTTTCGAATTTTTCAATTTTTCTCCGTTCGAAATCAACGGGATTGGAAGCCGTTCTGAGGAGTTATGGTAGGCTTACATGCGCACCATACATCAAAGTTTTAGACAGATTCACTGACAAGAGCGAAAATTGCAATTTCTAGAGTGTCTCTATAATTATGTCCAGCGCTGTATAACAGTAGGACCCCCTATCAATCCACTGCCCAAGTCGCGGCGCAGAATGCCGCTTCGAAAGCGAGAAAATCGCTTCGGAATAACGAAGATGCACGAGGACCCCCATCCATGCCCACCCACTTGTGCGCGCCCATCCAATCACCGTTCGAAAATCCGACCTGTGGGTTCTTCGGAACGGGGATTTTTGGGTTTTTCGAGCATTCTCGACTTCATATTCGGAATCAGGGACATGAAAAGGTCCTGAAACGACAAAAACGCAAGTCGAAAATCTGGGTGGACGGTGCCTTTATGGCAAGCCAAGCCCCTTTCAAAAATGCCGCAATTTGCACAAAGTTGATGAATTCGTAAAAATATTGGTATACTTGAAAAGTGAGCGGGGCTCCCCACTGAGTGGGTGGAGCCTGCATAACGGGGACGAGGTTGAAAATAAGGTTGTTTGAGATTGCCGAGTCATCTATAAACATTTTTTGCGATTTGAGAAGAAATTTTTGTAGAAGGCAACGAAGTGGGCGGAGTTTGCCAAAAAGGGGGCGGGGCCGAGATAAAAAAACTTCTGAGCCTGAATTGATTATGTGAACACAAATTGGAACCATTGTGCACATTAGAATTGATACTTAGGATGTCGCGCACCATTGCGTGACATCGTCCACAGGGACAGATTGCCTGTCGCACACCATTGCACGACACTATCGTGGGCGTGTTGAAATAATGCACGCTCCATAATCAAAGTTTCTGCAAGAACTTGACTAAGAGTGATCGAAAAACGAAACTTTCGCAGCACCTTCCATAAAACTGTTAATGCTGTAAAATTGTAGCG